GACACACACACACACACACACACACACACACACACACACAGTTTGTGTTCCATTGTTTACAAACACCCTCCAGCTGTAGATGAGGAATCAAACCCATGATTCACCTCCAGCTCGTCACAGGCGAGTCCCCCTTTGGACGAATACTTGAGGAAATCCTGAAAGAACATACGTGTTTATGTACGCGTGTAAATAGTATGTTCAGCATTCTAACGTCACAAGGAGCTCACGGACCTTCAGCAGCAGCTGGTACTTGGTGATTCTCTGGATGGGTTTGATCAGATAATCACTGATAGACATCCTGCAGCTGATCTCATGCTGGATGTCCTGCAGACAGACAGACAGGCCGTCAGACAGACAGGCCGGCAGACAGACAGACAGGCCGTCAGACAGGCCGTCAGACAGACAGACAGGTCGTCAGACAGACAGGTCGTCAGACAGATAGACAGGCAGACAGACAGACAGGCAGACAGGCAGACAGACAGGCAGGCAGACAGACAGGCAGACAGACAGGCAGACAGGTGGTTACCTCGAAGAAGTTGTCATACTCGATGACGATGACCTCTGACCTCGGTTTGTTCTGACAGTAAACAACGTACATGTGGAGGCGACGCTCCTGCAGCACAAACAAGTACCTCTTACATCACTGCATCTCAGAAATATTGTACTTCTTTATATTTGGTATTCCTTCATCAACAAAACATGCAGTACTACTTTAGTATAGTTTGTGTACACGTATTATTAGTGATACAAACCTTTTGAATTAAAAGTTAAAACAGTTTATTAGAGTTCTGCTGCAGTAAAGAGTCTCCTCTTTCCTTTAGATAAGTAAAGCAATTACAGGGAGAAGTAAATGAAAGAAGCATGCAGTACTACTTTAAGAAGTACTTCTAATCGGTGTAGGTATTGTATTTCCGACGAGGAACCCACGTGTCTGATGAAGAGGTCGGCCAGCAGCTCGTGGTTCTCAGCACATCGTTCCAGCTCCACCAGGAAGAAGCTGAAAGCACCAACACACACTCAGCGAGTCTGGTGGACACACACACGTGTACTTTACACGACACACACACGTGCACTTTATCCGTTAACGTCACGCATGTTGTTACTGCCGCTCAGATTAAGGAGACACGCACTCGCGGTGCCAGTCGTAGATCTGCTGGATGTTTCCGAAGACCATCTTGTCTTTTCCTCTCATGTCCTCCGGGATCCCTCGGACCTCCAGTCTGGACATGAAGCCCTGAGACGCACGTTTGTGTTACTATATAAATATAAAAGCCATTGAAACGTGTGGCGGGAAGCCGGATCTCACCTCCACGATCACGGCCAGGTCCTTCACGTAGTCCTTCTCCGACTGGATCATCTCGTTCACCACGAACCTGAAGAACACAAAGACGCTTTGAGCTTTGTTTCTCTTCACATTCGCTTGTTTGTCTTAATGCGTCTCACATTCGTCCCCGCAGAGCTTTGTCCCTCGTCTCCGTGTCCGACTCGTTGGAGCCCTGATCCGAGTCCAGAGCCTGGGGAGGACATGCCGACACCCAGAGGACTGAAGTGGCTTTTCTCTTTCTCAGAGTGAACACTTTATATAACAATAACACATTTACTGAATTGCAAGAAAACATCTATAATACAACAATTGTTGTTGAGTCACAGGACAAAAATCCAAATAAAATTGTTGTCGTTGCAGTTTAACAAACATAAGTCTACCATTATATTCATTATATAAAATATAAGGAAGCGCAAGAGAATATTTGTGTTCACCTCGGGGTTGTTTGGGTCTTTGATGATCTGCATGGGTGGAGGCAAAGGGGTGTGGTTTTCCTCCTCTGGCTCCTCCTCCCCTCCGCTTTGCCCCGCCTCGTCCTTCCTCGCCTTCTGCGCAAACAAACGCGTTCACTGTCCGTCCTCGCTGTGTCTCCTGTGTGTGTGTGTTGATGTACCGTCGGCACGTTGCCGCTGAGGGGCGTGGTCAGCTCCAGCCGGTTGTCTCGCCTCCTGGTTCTGATTGGAGGTTTCTTCTGTCCATCGGCTTTGCCCTGACTCAGCCTCCGGACGGGACTGGTCAGCCAGCGCTGCAACGGGCGACATGATTCATCGAGTACTACTACGACTTACTGAGACACTGTACATAGAGTACTGTAACGGGACCACGCTTTTTACCTTCAGGGTGTTTCCGGTTCCGGAGCCGCTACGTTTGGGACCCGGGGAGCCGACGCCGCCAGCTGGAGCTCCGCCCACTCCGAAGGCCGCAGGGCAGGTAGCGCCTGAGACGGTAAAAGGCAAAAGGAGGCACGGCGGTTAGTTCAAGGTGCGTCAGTAGAGTCGTACATTTGCGTGCCGGGGGGGGGGGGTGTCTCACTCTGACCGGACGTCTGGAGTCCGTCGGATACGAACAGACTGGAATCTGCAGGTTAGAATAAATATTCATTAATAGGAAAATATGTTTAAGAAGACATATAAAGACCACATGCAGATTAAACTAAAATATTAAGTATTAAGACACAGATTCAAAAAAATATATAAATTAAGAAACACACTGATTTAAATTAATAAATGAGTTAATAAGAGAGAACATTTTCACATTGTTGGGAACAAATAAATATAAGACAAATCTTTTGATACAAACAATATTAAATAAAACTGCAGTGTACATTAACACGTTTCACATCACTTTAATACGGTAAAATATACTAAATAAAAACAGGTATTTGTTATTTTTACGTAGAACCTACGATTCCCAATAGTATTTGAACTAGTACTTTGAGTACTGCGGGTAAAGGAGTAAATCATTAAAGAGAGAGTGAGACAGTTTCTACTTCCATGTCGGACGTCCTGCAGACTGAACGTGAAACTCTGTCGAGTGAGACGAGTCCGAGACAACAGAACCTGCAGGTCTGTGTCCGACACGCAAAGACACAGCGTTCTTCTAAAGTAACTGTCTGACACACAGAGGGACACACAGAGAGACACACAGAGGGACACACAGAGGGACACACAGAGGGACACACAGAGAGACACATACACACACAGAGGGACACACAGAGGGACACATACACACACAGAGGGACACACAGAGGGACACACAGAGGGACACACAGAGGGACACACAGACACACAGAGAGACACACAGAGAGACACACAGACACACAGAGGGACACACAGAGAGACACACAGACACACAGAGAGACACACAGAGGGACACACAGAGAGACACACAGAGGGACACACAGAGAGACACATACACACACAGAGGGACACACAGAGGGACACACAGAGACACTCACACACAGAGAGACACACACACACAGTCACCTAGCTCTGTCACTCATTGACACACACTCTTTCGTCTCAAGCACTCGTCTCTCTCTCACATTAAAAACCCACCTCGGCCGTCCTTTCCCACAATCCATCCCCAAACCGGGGAACAATCCCAGCATGCACCTCTGCCCCGCCGCATGCTTCGGCATCAATCCATACGGAGGAATAAATGTAAGAAGACAAAGGACAGAGACAGACAGGTGTTTCTCCCTCTCCAAAGAGCTACATGAAACTACAGCCAGAATGCTGGTGGGCGTGGCTTTGCGTGGGGGCGGGGCTAGAGGGAGGAGGGCGTTTACCAAAAAGAAAAGTACGTGCAAATAGAAGACTGAATAAGGGCAAATTAAATGTATTATCAAAATACAATATTTGAAAAAATATATATGAAAACGAATTTGTTTTAATAAATTGTTCAGTCAAAATATACAATATGTAAATAATTAATTTATACAAAATAAATATGTGTGACATAAATATGTGAAATAATAAAAACGTAATTAAGAATCTTAATTTAACAGAAGAGACGACCTGAAAGTATTCATTCTATTTTTAAAATGCAGACTCACACTAACACACACAGACACACTAACACACAGACACACTAACACACACAGATCGACAGACACACTAACACACAGACACACTAACACACCGACACACGGCCGGGCTGTTGATGTGCAGATTCCTTGTTGAGTCTCGCCTCCTTCATGTGAATGTCCTTGAAACTGTCTCACCTCTCGACTGTCTGTCTCTGTGAGAGTGAGACAGCTCGTGGAACCAGATTCCGGAGTATGATTCATTTTCTGTTTTGTTTTTTGTATTTTTGACATTCTGACTTGAAGTGAGAAGCTGAGGAGATGCTTATTGAGATGTACTGTCTCTTTAAAATACACAGTTATGATGTTAAAGCAGCACATCATATGAAACAAAGTATGTTTTCAGGGATTTAGATATTTATCAGACACAGAGAGACAAACAGGAAGTGGGAAGTCTCAACCAACGTGAGGATGTTTAAATTTCCCTCTATTTAAACAGGAAGTGACAAAGGAAGAAGCAACTGTGCTGTACTCACCCTTCACAGCATTAGTTGAGGAGTTGGAGGCGTTGGATGATAAGGGGGTGGTGGTGGTGGAGGAGTTGAAGGAGGAGGTGGTGGTGCTCGTAGAAGAGGTGGAGGTGGTGGAGGCTGGGATGAGGCCCTCCATGTCGGCTGCACTGTGGGAGTGTGATAGACAGAGGGCGCTCATGGGCAGTAGACCCTCCTGCAGGGAAACAGAAACCACATTACGAATGTTTCTTTATTTACTAAATAAACTAAAAGAAAGATGGACACGGGAGGGATACAAGTCTTTACTTCATGTTACCTTGGTTTTGGGTTCTGTGGCTACATTTAGTTAATATTTTGTATTCATGGGACATATTATTTATTTATTTTCTCTGACACTTGATTTGTCACAATTTGGGGCGTTTGATTTGTCACAATTTGGGGCGTTAGATTTGTTACCTGCTGGGTCGTTTGATCTGTCGTCCTGGCCAGACACCACCCGGGCCGTTCGGCCGAGCGCTCCACCAGCTCCACTGTCTGACCGCAGCGGACACCGAGCTCTCCCGGTCCACCGGAGGCAAAGTCCAACAGAACCACCACTAACTCGCACCCCCCCGACAGCTTGAGAGACAGAAAAGCAGGCAGGCAGGTAGACGGGTGAGACTGTTTATTATTGATGATGAAATGATACTTCAGCACCAGCGGAATGTGATAGAATTATTCAAAGAACACGACCCGGGAATCCACCTAATGTACGTTCTCCACCCGATCAATCACAGGGCGGCTAAAAGACACCGTGTGACACACCCAGTGTGTGTGTGTGTGTGTGTGTGTGTGTGTGTGTTGACTCGGCACATGGGTTCCAGCTGGTGTAGAAAACACACGCCCTTACTGAGTCCACTGGGAGTACTCGGGTGTTCCCCGTCCTAATCGAGTGCAGATGTGAGCCGAGACGACACAAACACAAGTACTTTCACTCCAACATGAGTATTTGTATGTGTACTTCTCCTCGTTTAGTGAAGGGAAAGTACTACAAGCAAAGGAAAATAAAATAAATAAAACAAGTTAAAGAGTTATGAGGAGTAACTGAAGTAAGAATATTTTAATGTAGCAGTTTGTTAACGTGGAGACAATATCAAATATTTAGTGTACCTCTGGGTAGAGTAGTAGTACAGTATTCTTACAAGTATTGTATTAATGTGGTGCAGTAGATTGGTAAATGTACTTTTGTTTGATGAATTCCTATTCAACTTAAAAGTGTACAATCTATATTTCCGATTTAAATGGCATGTAAAAATCGAATAGTATTAAAAGTTGCATAGATTTGTTAATTCATTAATTAGTTGATCGGCGAAAGAATAAGTATTTTGTTAATAAATTATTCATTAAACAAAATTCTGTTAATAGGCTGTAAAATATGGAGATTTCCTGCTTTTCTCATTTTATCTCATATCAAACGTAATATCTGACAAAAAAACGGTTTAAAAATAGTTCAATATATGATATCATTATTCTCCAAAGCTCCCCCCGCCTTCATAACTCAACAGCAGGTAGAACAAATCAAACGTACCTCGAGAGGAAGAGCAGAAAAAGAAGTGACAGTCTGACGACCGAAAAGAAGAAAACACCCAAAACAGCTGCAGCAGCGGCGATGTCCTCAGTCTTTGGGACACGCCCCTCTGAAGAGTGTGTGTGTGCGTTACCTTGTCACTGTCGGCGGTGTTCTGGGACGTCCTGGAGGCGATGGAGACGGTGTCTGGCTGACTGCTGGCGTCTCCCAGGCTGTCTGCGTCCTCGCTGGTCTCCCTGTGGGACCATTAAGCATTAGGTGTTGGAGTCTGAAGCGGACCAATAGGAACGTAGAAATGAAAGTACGGGTCGGCAGGTTATTTCTTGGAGGTTTACCGTGTGTCTGACCTGCGGCTGATGCTGCGCTGGCGCGCCAGGGTGGGGTTGGGCGTTTTGGGGAGCGGGATGGGCTCCCTGAGAGCCCCGCGCAGGTGGCCCCGCCTCTCCTGGATCACCTGTCGGATGCTGCGGACCCATTCCTGCTTCAGCTCCAGCGAGGCCGCCTGCGGGCGGGCGAAGCAGGGCGACAGGGAGGTGAGGTCACGGCTTTATGTGGGAGGTGAGGGGGCTCGTCGGATCGGAACACACCTTCAAGACGGTCTTGTTGTCAGACGTCGGCGTCCGTCCGACCCACAGAGCAAACTTGCAGGGATCCCCCTCGATGTGCTCCGTCACCCCGAGCTCCGAGGTCTGACAGGGCGACAGGTGGAGCAGGTGAGACAGGGGGAGCGAGTGAGACGGGGAGCGAGTGAGACGTCCATAGACCTCCTGCTGGGCGTCTTTCACACTATTCAGGAGCTTTTTCCTTCGTTCTCTTCTCTTCTAGATTGGCCTCAATATTTGAGAAAATTGGCCTGAATATGTTTTGAAAATACTGCATAAAAAAATATTTTGAATATCCTGAATATTTTAGAAAACAACAACAACAATAAATATGTATATATTTATATATATATATAGCTTCAATATTTGGTAAAATTAGATTAAATATGCTTTCAAAAGCCTAAATATGTGATAGAAATAGCCTAAATATATATACTTAATAATCTAACCTTTTCTTAATAAAAGGCCAAATTCAATAGTGTAGTATTATAGTAGTATAGTAAGTATTTTTGTATCCCCAGAGTGTACTGTTCCAATGTATTGGCATGTTTTACCCTCAGTCTGCTCTTGTAGAGATATTTGGCTCGCCCCGACGAGTCCTTGATCTCCTTGCTGAAGATGAGTGACAGCTCGAACAGGAAGAGGTGCCGGTCCCGCCCCTTCCTGATCAGGGACTTGGGCTCCCAAACCAAGAAGGAGTCCTGGAGGAGGAGCTCGCCCTGCACCTCCAGACCCTCCTCCAGACCTGACGGTGACATCATCAGAAACGTCTCCAGATGTTTACAAACATCCAAAACATAACAAGAACTTCATGGACTCTTTTGCAAAACATTCTTCAGCTATTGTCTAAATAAAAAATAATAATAAAAGCCCGCCCTCCAAAAGGTTTGTCCACAACGTACAAATATACACAACAATAAGAGAAATGAAAAAATGTTAAACGTTTTGTTTTCCGGTTCCTTCAAAATAAAAGCCCCCACCCCAGCTCCTTCACAAGAAAATTCCTAAAAATCTGTTTGTTACCTTCCAGCATGCTAACATGCATAGCGTCGTTGGCTCTCTTCGGGACGCTCAGCATCACGTCCAGGCCTTCTTTTATTTCTCCTTTTCCCTCCTCGCAGCACGCCAACAACTCCTGAAAACACACCGGACTAATCAACACTACAACTACACAATGTATGATAATAAACGTGGAATAGTCAGAGGATAATTATTATGTTAAACAGTGAGTCTTCTTCTAAATATTGTATTTCTGCATAAAAACAAATAATTCAATGTTTAATACCAAATAAAATATGATTATAAGCATACAAAAAAATACTTTTAGATCAACTAAATGAAATAAGACACATATTTATATTATCAAAAACAGCGTTGGACCTTTTGATTTTACATTTACTTAATTTACTTACCATTCGCTTAAATATAAAGAAAGTAGAATGATTTTTGTTATTGTTGTAACGTCACACAGGCAACAGCAGACTTTTATTCCTGTCAAAGTTCTGCTCTTGAATACTCAGTACTCAGTACTCAGTACTCAGTAGTTACCTTGAGCAGCAGCTGGTATTTAGTGATCCTCTGAACGGGTTTGATCAGAGCCGAGGAGACGGAGTTAGTGAGTCCGTGTCTCCTTTGGACCTCCTGAGGAGACACCAGTGTTACAAAGTATCACACGCAGGAAGTACACGTCATGTGTACCTGTATATACATGTGTATACATGTATATGTATCATAATCTGTCCTGTTTATGTGCCAATACAGTAAACCTCGTTGTATATTTCGTAGTATATTTGGTGATGCAGTACATATCGTGCGCTGACAGGAAGCTGTCGGACATGTTGTTGTTGTTGTTGTTGATGAACAGACCTCAAAGAACCCGACGCCGTGCTGCTGGATCAGGAGGCTGGAGTCGGGTTTGTTTCTGCAGTAGGTGACGTACATGTGGAACTTATCCGCCTGAAAGTACAAACGCGCCCTTTACTGAGTATTAAAGTACTAGTACTCATTCTCTCTCTGGAATACTTTCACACGTCCTTAATTTGACGCGAGGTGAGCAGTTACCCAGGTAACGAAGCAGTGTCCCACGTCCTCAGGGAGCTGCTCGTAGTTTTCTAACTCCTTCAGGAAAATACTGCAAAAAGAAGAGTACAGACGTTCTGTTTGTGTACTAATACACTACCGTGTTTCCCACAGATCCGACGTCAACGTGTGGCGGCTGAACTGGAATAATTCACTTTGATTTTGATATTATTACATATTTGTAAGACAAAACTTTACCGGAGCAAATACAGAACAGGGATTCACGCCTGAACAAACAAAGTCTGCAACTTCAGTCACAGCGACGGACACGCGAGACAGACGCGGCGTCCACGGAGGGGAGGGGCGTGTGTGTGTGTGTGTGTGTGTGTGTGAGACGGAGGGACAGCAGGGAAAGGAAATGCAGTGATTTAAATGTGTGGAAACACTGCACTAGGTGGTGTAGTACATTTGGTTGTACATGTACTAGTACCTGTTGTGGAACTCGTAGATGTCCTGGATGTTTCCAAACACAATGTCGTCCTTGGTCCTGAGACCAGGTGGGACGTCCTCTGAGCCACTTGTCATTTCCCACAGGTACGTCTGCACAGGTACAAGTATTACCATGAGGAACTACTGCCTATTACGAAGTAGTACTCTGGTATTACTACATGGAGTTGTTGTTTTCAGGTGTATGTTTGCATTTGCTGCCAGCAGAGGGCGCTGATTTTAGTATTTTATTCACACACTGTGTTGAGTAACAAAGTACTATGTACTACTGCCTGACATACGAGCTGTACTGTGTGGTACTGCAGTACTACAAGTGTGTACCTCAATACACTCCTGCAGGTCTCTCACGTAGACCCTCTCGGTCTGGAGCAGCTCAGCCATGATGTACCTACAGGTACAAAAACACAGGTTATCAATACTCCCACCGGTAGTACTAGTAGTACCGTTAGTAGTAATAGTACTAACGATACTCACTCTTTCTTGCGGGCGGAACGCCGCTTCTCGTCGCTGACCTGGTGACTCGGGTCAGAGAGGTTGACCTCGGGGTCCGAGTCCGACAGACTGTTGGGGGTCAGCTCCAACTCCAAGTCCTTATTGTTCTACCGGGGACAGCGTGGCCTCAGGAACGCAGTACTGGGTACTAGCAGTACTACTGCTGTAACTAATCCACAGGCTAGAGACTATGGTACTTAGAGTAGAGTAGAGGCTGAACACTAGTAGTACTACTGCTGTAACTAATAGTCAACAGGCTGAATACTAGTACTACTGCTGGAATACTGCTGTACTGCTGTAAAATACCCTGACCTCTTGAATGGTGCTGTGACCGGTGTACTTGTACCTGCGAGCAGCCTCCCAGCGCCCCCTCCAGCAGGTGGCGGTACTGAGTCATCCTCGCGGTGAAGTCTCGGTACCGTTTGTCCACCGCGGAGACGCAGCGGCGGAGCTCGGTTCGGTGGGCGTGTCCCTTCGCCAGCATGCTCTCAGCCAGCTGGATGAGGAGGTGGACCTTCTCCTGGGTGTGCTGAGAGGACGGGTAAGTGTATAAATACTATATATATATGTACATTTATTTAAGTGCACGTGTGTGTCCTCACCTTGGCCGACACACAGAACTCTCTGTGTTGGTTCAGCAGTTCTTGCGTCTCAGCCGCCGTTGTCCCCGGCGACGTGTGCGTGGCCAGGTAGCGGTCACCTGACTGCTGCAGCCAATCCAGAGCCTGCAAACCACACAAAAACTCCAGCATAAGGACGTATGTATCCCATCATGCATCATCAAACACTCTGGTCTATTTGGTCCAACAAGTACTACAGGTTGTACTTCATCTAAGTATGAATCCATTTTATGTAAGAAAACTATTTAGGTTCAAACTTTCATTCAAATCAACGAGCCGCCCTGAGACCTGAAACATTGTAACTATTATATCGGATCCTTTTATTGTAAAGTCATTTTTATATGGAAATCTTTTAACTTAAATTAAACAACTTCAACTATCAATGTGTTTGTATTAACGATCCAACTACATGATACATGTACTACAACGGGTATTGTACTTTTGATACTTTCAGGACATTATCCGCCAAACTTCAAAAAGACTCATTTTCTATCAAGTTGTGATTCTCCCATCGGTGCTCCACCTGTTGTCCGTGGTTCTGGAACATCAGGTACTGCTGGCATTGGTCCAGCCGACGCTTCTTCAGGGTCCAGAAGTGCAGGACTCGGTTCTCCCTCTGCAGCAGCTCGCTGAGGATACCTGCAGGCACACACACACACACCTGGATCACCGATCCACCGAGGAGCGCCTCAGGGCTGTGAACCGGATCCTCTGGACTTTTTTCCAGTGTTCAAAAAATAAATAAACAATTTCTCACCTTTAACCTGCTGCTCCGGCACCCTGGAGTGACCCGTGACCTCGGCGACCCCTGGCACGCTGTGGCCAGAGATGTTTGCCATGGTGACGCTGTTGCGGTGGATGTACTTGAGGAAGACCTCGGCGTTCCTCCGGGCCAGCGTGCAGGCCTGTTGCCATGGAAACAGAACCGGTACGATTACCTTACAATCGAGGGGTCAAACAATGTGGACTGTCACGTAAAACAGTCTAGTCAGCACTAAGTCCCGCCCCCCTCCCTTGGTTACCATTGCTAGGTCAAGCTTCCTGTCCTAGCATATCTAACAGCTTTAACGGAGGGAGGTGTTCTTAAAGATTTGCTGATCAATCAGATATTTCCAGCCAGGTAACAGTCGGATTAACGATTATTGATCGTTTAGCCAGTAACGTTCCCCAAACCCCCCCGATCACCTTCAGGAACGCCTCCTTCTGCTCCATGTGCTTGCTGACCAGTGGCAGGAGGAGCTCCGGCTGTCGCTCACCACCGCCGCACCAGTCCTCCTCCCTGCGGTACTCCTGCTCCAGGCTCTCCAGCACCCCGCACACCTGAGAGGGGGGCGGGGCCATTGGGTAGGTGAGACGAGCAGACAGACGGGTAGGAGGGACAGACAGACAGGAGGGGGGTGGGGTACCTGCTGGGACGTCCTGTAGAAGGCTGCAGAGGCGTTGACCAGCTTGAGTCTGTCTTCGATCCTCAGCATCAGAGTCTGCCAGTGCAGCGCCACCGTCTGGGCACAGGACCTCACTGCATCCGGGTCATAGTGACCGGACCTGGAAACCCAGATGCTACAGTAAATGCTCTCCATGCATGCGAATGTGAAAAGGCCACGTGATGCTAACGCGATGCTAACGCAGAGACAAGATGACGGTGGACTCACCTGACCAGAAGCTCCGCCCTCTGCTGCAGCGCCAGTGCCACCTGGTGCGTCCTCTGCAGGGAGTCGGCGTGGAGCAGAGCCTGCAGAGACACCTCTAATCAGTCCGTCTCCAAAAAACAATCGTCACGCTTTACTGTTCTCGCGGCTACCGACTTCCTGTTTGCATGGCGCCTCGCTGTGCTCAGCATCCTGCAGCCTGACTGTTGGTCTCAGATGAATCGTGGCTTCATCGTTTCTCAGAAGAGCTCAGAATTTAACACTTTTTACAGCATCTGGCTATCAAAAGGTTTATTTGGGGCTAGATATTAAAAGAGATGTATAATAAAATGTTAAAATATCACATTTTTACTGTTATAGTTAATAGAGTCCCTCAGACATGATACAGTAGTATTTTAAAATGAGGAAAGCTACAGCCAAACAAACGACAGTGTAGTGATAATGTAGTTGTGTTCAGCGGCCGTCAGAAAAGAGAGAATCTGCGTTTTTTTAAGGCTTTTGTCTCTCGATAAATGCTGAAAGTTCTGCCGCCTTCCTAAGGGTTCAAGGTGCAGTTACCTCGATGGGCCTGCTGGTAGTCGCTCATGTTTCCTCTTGCAGCTGCTCGGCCTCCAGACAGACAGCTGGAAGTCCAGCATGCAAGACGACAGCATGACCTCCCCCTC